AAGGAAGGAAGGAAGGAAGGAAAAAGGGAGGGAGGAGAGTGGGAAGGAAGGGAAGGAAGGAAAACAGAGGGAGGAGAGTAGGAAGGAAGGAAGGAAGGAAGGAAGGAAACTAGCAATAGCACTTAAGACTTCTCTACCGCTTCAAAATGCTTTCCAGCCCTCTCTAAGCCATTTATAGAGTCAGCCTATCGCCCCCAACGATCTGGGTCCTCATTTTACCAACCTCGGAAGGATGGAAGGCTGAGTCTGCCCTGGCCAATCAGGATTGAACTACAGGCAGCTGGCAGTAAGCAGAAGTAGCCTGCAGCACCGCATTCTAACCATTGGGCCCCCACCAATCTTCCCGCCGTTTTGGAAACTTCCCCCTTTCCAAACTCCACCCGTCCTTCAAGAGGCCCTCGAAATACCCGGAAGCTGTCGGGTTCACGGCCCGCCCATCTCTCCCCCCCCCGCCGCCAACCCTCCGGGTTCCTAAGCAAAGCCCGCCTCTCTTTCCACCTGCGCTCTCACCTTGCTGATCTTGGCGGGTGGGGGCTGGGGGGCCGGCTGCGCTGGGGTGGGAGCGGATTGTGCCGAAGGTTGAGACGGGTGCTGGGGCTGGGGCTGGGGTTGCGGCTGGAGACCGTGGGCCGGGATTTGGTGCACCTGCCCCGGGGTGGTTACATTCACCATGTCGTTGGTCTGGACTTCGATTTTGTAGCCGGGAGGCAGGAAAGTGTTGAAACCCATGATCAAATCGGGGTGGCCTTTGAAGAGCTGAGAGACGCGGCTGATCACGCCGGGAGTGTCGATGCTGCGCAGGGAGCCAATTGGGGGGGGGGGGGGGAAACGAAAAGAAAAAGGCATTAAGATTCCTGCCACGAATTACAACGGGTGTAAAGAGGCTGCACTAAGGTGCATCCCTTATGGCAGAGGTCCCCAAACTTGGCCACTTTTAAGATTTGTGGACTTTGACTTCCAGAATTCTCCAGCCAGCTATAGCTGGCTGGAGAATTCTGGGAGTCAAAATCCACAAATCTTAAAAGTGGCCAAGTTTGGGGACCCCTGCCTTATGGCCATAACCCCAAAACAAAAACCCACTAGGTTCTACAGTCTGCTCTTGAAGGGAAATCCAATGCAGGTAGTCTTCCCCTTATCAAAAATTCATTTAGTGACCAAAGTGGCTCAAGGGCTAAGAGACTGAGCTTGTCGATCCGGAACATCGGCAGTTGAAGCGGTTCGAACCCCAAGCTCCCGTTCCTGGTCTCAGCTTCCACTAACTAGTTCGAAAGCACGTAAAAAAAAAATGCAAGGAGAAAAATAGGGACCCTTTTGGTGGGAACGTTTCATTTGCCTTCGAAGGCGTTTTAGTCCTGCCGGCCACATGACCGCGGAGACGTCTTCGGACAGCGCTGGCTCTTTGGCTTTGCAACAGAAATGAGCACCGCCCCCCTAGGGCCAGAAACGACTAGCACGGATGGGCAAGGAGGGGAACTTTTACCTTTACCTAAAGTTACAACGGCACTGCAAAAAAAGAGACTTAGGACTGTGTTTCACGGCTGTGACCGTTGCAGCCTCCCCACAGATAACATGATTTACATTCGGATTTGTTCATATTTATGACGGTTGCAGCGGGTCATGTGACTCTTTTGTGACTGTCTGACATCCTCTCAACAGCATCCTCATGGTCACGTGATTGAAATTCAGACGACTGAAAACTAGTTCGTATTTTACTCACTAACTTATCAACTGGAGTGATTCACTTAAGCATGGATATCAGAAAGGTCGCAAAATTGGCAGGGGAGGGGAGGGAATTCCTTTAACAAATGTCTCACTTAACAACAGAAATGTTGGGCTCAGTTGCGGTCCTAAGTTGAGGACTACCCGTAGAAGAAAAAAACCTAGGCAGACATCATTAGTGTTTGGCAATAAAAGACAGAATTAATTACTGCAAGATTGCTTGAGTTTTAACATGTAAGGCTACGTTTAGGCTCACCCCTGTTTGTTGAACAAGCCGTAATAGTTGAATGGGTTCCCGTCAAGTGGAGGAAAATAAAAACAAATGCAAAAAAAAAAAAGCAAAAAAGCAGGCCTTCCTTATACCTTTGAGATTTAAACTCCTTCATTATGTCCAAGAAATCGTTGTAGACTTGAGGCTGGCTACCGAATTGCAGCTTCACCTGGTCAAGGTATGATAGAGCATCTTCTACCTGCAACCAAAATAACCCAAGTTAAAAACATCAAGATTTTTCATCTCCAGGCTTTCAAGAGTAAACGGAGTTCGGGTACCGGCGATAAAACACTGATAAAAGTGACCTCATTTGAAGGTTCAAAACTGAATTAAGAGCCTAGTCACATTTACAGAGCAATAACTTCCCAACAAATTTTAAGTAAAAGAATTTGAACTTACATTGCACCAGGAAGATTGGTTTGGCTAATATAAAGAAATGAGCTGTAATAAACCTACCCTGCCAGGTTAATCTCAGTTTAAGTCTATTAATAAAGATGATCACAATTAACAGAAAGGAATCGGAGGTGTTTTATCGTATTCCTGGAGACACACACACGCTTCAAAGCATTCAGAACTGACTTCGCTTCCGAAGTATTTATGCTGTTTGCAATCACTTTTTGCAGCATAACCCAAGCAGGAAAATGATTAAACTATTAAGTTGGCACAAACGGTCCAAAACTGTTAGTAGGCACAAAGTAGCTATTTCATGTTCTACGCCGCTGAGGACAGAGGAAGGAGTGGAAGTGAATTAACCACCGTGTCTTCACTGGTTATAAAAATAAGAAGAGGGCAGAGTCGAAAAGTGGAGCAAATAACATAAATGAATAAACCAACAAACGTATCCAAAGATGCAAATGTTGCTTTGGGTGGAGGACGAGGGGGGAAAACATAGAACACAAACCCAAGAAGAGACTGCACAGCCCCTTGTCCGAGATGGTGTGGGGTTCTCCTGCTGGGACGGAGGGGGCTGGACTAGAAGACCTCCAAGGTCCCTTCTAGCTCTATTCTGACCCTCTGCAGCAAGTGGGGGAAGATCAAAAGGGAATCCCCAACCCTTGGTCCTTCTGACCAGGCTCACCTTCAGCCGCTGGAACTGCTGTTGGCCCTGGACGGGGGCCGCTGGCGGAGTCGGGTGGGCGTGGCTCTGCACCACTTGGCTTCCGTGGGGCTGAACGGGGGTCGGGTGGTGGTGGCCGCTGTGGACGGCGGCTAACGTGGGTCCGTGGCTGTTGGAGCTCTGGGGAACGGTGGACACCTGGGGAGGCAAGAAAAGCCATTGAGGATGGTGGTGGTGGTGTTAGGTTCCAGCAAGGATCCCCGGCCCAGAGCCAAGCAATTCTCCTTTCCCTTCGGGTAGAGGAAGAAACTTGGGCGATGCGACGAGCTGAACTATCTAACCATATCCAACTCAGGCAGCCTTTGACTTATGACGACAAGGCGTTTCCACTGCCGAGCGAGACGGCGGTTAAAAGAGAACAACTTCCCCTGCGCTTTACCAGCTTACTCCCCGCGGTCAATGTCCGCGGTTGTTTACGGTGAGTCGCTCGGCTGTGGAAGTGAACCCGGCTCCCCTGTTGACTCTGTCGGCCAGGAGGCTGCAAAAAAGGGGGTGACTAGACCCCCCGGGAGGCTGCAACCACCGTCATAAATGTGAGTCAGTTGCCAAGGGTTCTGAATTTGGATCACGGGAATGATGCAAGTGTAAAAAATGGCCATAGGTCACTTTTTTTCCCCCCAGTGCTGTTGTAACTTTGAATGTTCGCTAAACAAACGGTTCTAAGTCAAAGACCGCCCTTACTGTCTTCAGCACAGGTCTCCAACCTGGTCAACTTTAAGCCTGGTGGACTTGCAACTCCCAGAATTCTCCAGCCAGCATCGCTGGCTGGGGAATTCTGGGAGTTGCAAGTCCACCAGGCTTAAAAGTTGACCAGGTTGGAGACCCCTGATTTTTAGGAAGTTACAAAATCATCTCCACGCTGTTGTGGTTTAGAAGCTCGGCGTCCCTACACGTACCCCCTGCTTGCTGTAGCCATTGTGCATCAATTCGAGGACCCACACCAATTGCGTAGTCCAAAAGCGTTCACAAAGATTTCTCAAAGGCAGAAGAGCCAAACCCTGCCACCCCCTTTGGCCGCTCTGCAGCTCCTCCCGCCGGGAGTCCTTTCAGTGCCTCTTTACCTGGTAGCTGGGAGTGACCGAGTACTGGATCCCCGTAGCGGACTGCATGGTCTCCGAAACTGGTTCATAGACCGGGGGCGCTGGAGCGAGCATCCGGTGTTGGTGCGGGAAGGGCTCGGCGCTGCTGGCGATGCGCCTCTGCTGGGACGCGTAGACGGGGGATTCCTGTTCCTCCGCTCGCCGCTTCATCCTGAATTCATGCTCAGGGAAGCCCTACGAAACCTGCGGGGAGAGACCGAAAGGGATCAGGGGTTTGGAGCGGGGGTCGCCGCGGCTGTTCAACGAGCAACGCCGTTTGTTGTTAAGTGAGCGATCAAAGTTGACTCTGCTTGTCAGGAGGCTGCAAAAACGGGACCCCCCCCACAACCGCCTTAAATTTGAGCCAGGTGTCAAGCGCCCGAGTTTGGATCGTGCGACGTTGCGACGGCCATGAAGTGTGAAAAATGGTAAAAAATCACTTTTTAAAACTTCGCTCACTGCACGAAAGGCTCAAGAACTACTTGGAACGAGAGCCAACCACCCCCTTCCAACCTTAAATGTTCTAAGTGAGGGGTGCCCATCCTTTGCCCCCTTTAAGACCGGTGGACTTCAGCTCCCAGAAACCGGACGTACTTTTTCAAATATATCCTAACCGTGATCTGTAGCCTTTGAACATCCTGTGTGGCTCAAGAGCCTGAATGGAAGTGACTTGAGTAACGCACGAGCTTCGCTTGGCGTATATTAATTCTGAAACGTGTCGGAAGAGAGCGCATTAATTGCATCTCAAAAGCATTTATGGTTGAGGTTTGCTGGCACCGCAGTTACATGAATGAGTCACTCCGATTCAGCAGCAGGAAAGCGTAGTAAATATCCTCCCGTGTTGTTCCCAGTGAAGCACACACCTTGCACATGGCTTTGGAGAAGCTGCTATTGAACTGATTGGGCAAGAGAGAGCTGCTGGAACGGGTACTGAAGAATTAGGAAGTCTTTTCCTTTTCAGAACGATGACCAAAAATAAAAAAAAAGAGAGCCTTTTAAAACCACTCCTTTGAAGTGTTTCTTGCCCGCCTTAAACTGGCCCACCAGAATACAAATGTATTAAATGAGAAGGCCTTTTCCCGCTGCTTCGTCCTTCTCACCCTCAAATCAAATCGGTGCCCGTGGATGCCAACATCTGCCTTTGATTATTACCAGTTTTTTTTTTTATTTATAGAACAGAAAGTATAGTTCGGTCTAGTGAACGTTATTTCCACCCAGGCTTAAACCCCAAAAGTCCGCAGATCTGCGTTGAATGAATTACCACCCCAGTTAAGGTTGGCGGAGGTTGGCTACCTATTTCCCCTCTTCAGCACCTAAAGTGAAAAGCATTTCAGGAGTTAAGGTACTAATTCTTTCTTTGTAGACTGTGCTTTTGTCTTTCTGCCTGCAGTGAAGATGAATTATACAAAATGTACGGGCATTTTATTGCAGTGATTGAACATGCTTGATGAGCCCCCCGAGTACGTGAAAATTAATCTGTGAAAATAAACACGAAGAATGCATTTCACATCAAAAGAGGAACCTTCACCCCTAAGGGGGAAACTGAAGATGCTGGGACCAGAAGGGTCCTTGCCACATCCGCACCCCAAACCTGAAGGCATATTTATTGGAACAGCAAACACACACAAACGTGGCCCAAAAATTGGGGTTTAAAAGGATACACTAACTTTCTACCACTTGGTAGATCTGAACATTAACGACAAATGAAAGCATGGGACCAAAAAAATAAAAATAAATAAAAGGATCACCTGTTCTGTTTTCCATATAATTTTCAAGACAAAGTTTCAGGTCAAACTTTAATAGAGAAGGAATGTATAATCCACAGTCCCTGAAGTGAGTATTTTCCATGGAAGGCCTTTCGGTCTTTGGGGCCATGACAGCAGGAAAATGGAAGGGACTTTTATTAAAATTTAATTGGGAAGAAAATTGTGGAAATGAACAGGAAAAAAAAAAAGAAAGGCTAAGGAAAAAAAAAAGTAAGGTGTATTTTTGGGTTCAGACGTCATTGTTCAGGCTTTTATCACTGGATTAAATCTAAACAACAATCAAGACAGGGCGACTATTCAGAAAACTTGGCTGCCTCTACCAATTCTGACATGCCTCACATTTTAAAAGTTCACAAATTCTGGAGCATCTTTAAGGGACAGTCTTGGGTGAAGCCTGACCCCAGGCAATCATGAGGGATTCTGGGAGTTGAAGTCCATACATCTTAAAAATTGCCAAGCTTGCGGGGAGGGGAAACACCAGCTGTATTGAACATCAGTTCAATTTATCTATTGATCCAACGCATTTGGGATGCCACAGGCTGGAAAAAAAGCTGGATTATGACATCAATCCCTAACATACATATTATTAATAAAGGCATGAACTAATTTTATTGTTGATGCATTAGACTGGTTGGAAAGCTCACAGAAGCAGTAGTGGATCTGATACCTGATAGAATTACATTTTATGATGTCCTGGAAGGCATAAAATGTAATCTGGTAAAAACTGGAAATTCATACGTGTGTAACTTTTTTTCAAGATTTAAAAAGCTTCTGTCCAACAACTCTTCACCTGTAATCTTAAATAGGCTTGCTGGGAAGTATGTAATGTAAGCGACATCTAAGTATGGTTCCTTGAGTTCAAGTCTGAACAGCCTTTTGAATAAAAATAAAACTTGTGGCTAGCATCCTATTTTGTATGCTTCTAAATCAATAGACCTGCATCTAAGTATTTTACACTAAACCAGAGGTCCCCAAACTTGGCAACTTTAAGACTTGTCGACAGCCAGCTGGCTGAGGGATTCTGGGAGTTGAAGTCCACAAGTCTTAAAGTTGCCAAGTTCTGGGACTCTTGCACTAAACCAAAACATCACTTATGTTGGATTTAGTGTGTTATGCAAACCCAGCTTCCATGGTTTATAAAATCTAGTTTGTGTTTTTAGTTCAAGATATCTATCTATCTATCTATCTATCTATCTATCTATCTATCTATCTATCTATCTATCTATCTATCTCTGAAGCCATGACTTCATATAATTATGTGAACACAACAGTTCGTCAGATGATTAAAGCCAATTTCGCTTGGTATCCAAGCAGCAAAATAAATAAATAAAATGTAAAATAAAAATAAGCAAAATGAAACTTTAGCCCCAGTGAACTATTAATACTACCGTATTAATTAGCATCACGACAGCAAACCAAATATAAAGGAATCTTAACAACATTACAAAAGACTTTGCAAACAGATCCTGCACACTTAACTAGCAATGTGGAGTAAAACATGATGGAATCTCAGATTTTTCAAATAAATAAAAACTAGCTCAGTTTAAAAAAACGACCAACCACAATCTTGTAAATCGAGAGAAATAGTAGGTGCTCACTCATCCACACTAAGCTAGCTATCTTATTTCTGACCAGGGGATTAATTAAGCTTTGCATTCCTAAAATAGGAAATAAACAAGAGGAAATGGCCCACCAGCAGCCAGCCAGCCAGCCAGCCCTCAACATTTCATACCGCTAACAACTATTATATTTAAACAGCCTCTCACAAAGGCTGCACACCGAATCATTCCATTTAAAGCACTCTCAAGAGGAGACTTAATAGGAGTAAATCCCATTTTAGCACACCCTGGTGTCTGGCCGAGGACTGCCTGTTGGTGTGGAGAGATGGAGCATTTGAGGACAGAAAGCCCAGCAGAGGTGAAGGGACTGAAAGAGAATCGGAGCAACTGGCTGAAACAGCAAGCAGGCAACATGCAAAAGGCCGCTTAATGTCTCGCAGGGGTGTCCCCGATACACTCGCTAAGGCAGAGTGTCTGGACTGCCAACACATCCTTGAAGATTTCTCCAGCAGACACAAGGACGCTGCATTTATCGCCGACAGATGCTAGCAATTTGGTGCTCGGCCTAAAACTGACCATTCATCCTCCTCCTCCTCTCCTCTCTCTGTCAATGATGCGCCTCCCACAACCTCCCCAGCATTACACACCTGAGCTGAAGAGCAGCATTTAAAAATGAAGCGACCAAAGTAAAAAAATAATAATTAAAAATTGAAATGAGCGAAGTAAGAATGTTGGGAGATGGCAAGAGAAGATCCAGAAGTTGGATGACTATAAGGGGTAGGAATGGATTCCTGCACTGTTAGGAAGGTGGGATCAGACTGCAGCGTTTTTCCAAGTGGGCAACTTTTGAGGTGTATGGATTTCAACTCCCAGAATTCCCTAGCCAGCTAAGGGAGAATCGTGGGAGTTGAAGTCCCCAAATCTTAAAAGTTGCCAAGGTTGAAAAACAATTGATTTAAAAAAGCACCATATGGGTTATATATAAGGTCTGAGCGGAAGAGTTCTGGGAATTGAAGTCCCCACATTTTGAAGAGGGTGGCTGGGGAACTCTGGGAATTGAAGTCTACGTGTTTTAAAGCAAGGGTCTTCCAACTTGACAGCTTTAAGGCTGGTGGACTTCTACTCCCAGAATTCCTGAGCTAACCTGACTGGAGGAGGAATTCTGGGAGTTGAAGTCCACAAGTCTTAAAGCTGTCAAGTTGGAAGACCCGTTTTAAAGTCGCCAACTTTAAGGAACACTAGATTGAAGGATCTCCGAGATCCCTTCCAAGGAGGGAATTAGCAGGTGGTGATGGAGGGAAGGAAGCCCTGGGACTCCCATCCCACCCAGTTGCAAGGGGGAAGTCTACAGCCCATCAGACTTCCTCCCACTGTGGCTCTCTTATTTATTTAGCATATGACGTCTACCGAGGACATGCAATCACTGATGTACAGTTCGAATAAAGGGTCAGCAATTATATTATGTATATCACAGAATAACACTTGGCAGTATCCTGGGCTCACATGATTTGCCTTTGGCGACCTTCCGACAGCCAACAGAGAAGCCAAATTCACTTAAGAACCGTGTTACTAATTGAACAACTGCAGCGATTCCCACAGGAACAGCGTCAAGAAAGGTTGTAAAATGGAGCAAAAACCCACTTAGCCAGTGTCTTGCTTAGCAGTGGAACTGTTGGGTCAACTGTGGTCATAATTTGAGGATTACCTGTGTGTGTGTGTGTGTGTGTGTGTGTGTGTGTGTGTGTATAGATATAGAACAAGGGTCTTCAAACCTGACAAGTTTAAGACTGATGGACTTCACCTCCCAGAATTCCTGAGCTAACATGACCGGAGGAAGAATTCTGGGAGTTGAAGTCCACAAGCCTTAAGGCTCTCAAGTTTGAAGACCCCTGATCTATCACCTATCACTTATCAATCTATCCTCTCTCTCTCTCTCTCCATACCTACCTACCTACCTACCTATCATCTATCACAAGGGTCTTCCAACTTGGCAAGTTTAAGACTGGTGGACTTCCCAACTCCCAGAATTCCTGAGCTAACATGACTGGAGGAGGAATTCTGGGAGTTGGAGTCCACCAGTCTTAAAGCTGTCAAGTTTGAAGACCCCTGGTCTATCACCTATCAATCTATCATCTCTCTCTCTCTGTACCTACCTATTTACCTACCTACCTATCATCTATCTATCACCTACCACAAAGGTCTTCAAACTTGGCAGGTTCAAACCCCCCCTCCAGAATTCCCGAGCTAACGGGACTGGAGGGGGAATTCTGGGAGTTGAAGTCCACCAGTCTTAAAAGCTGTCCAGATGGAAGATATACAGCCTATGCTAGATATACACCATGATACCTTATTAATATTTATTTAATTTCTATAGCCACTTCACCAAATGAGCAGAAAGCTAGTTTTTATCAATTAAGATGAAAACATAATAAAAGCTCCCTAATCTCGAGCCGAAGGACTGCAATGGGGGATCATCCGGGATCTAAGGAAACTGCCCAGCTGGGGCGCTCCAGATGTGCTGGACTTTGGCTGCCCCCCCTCCCATTAGCTTAAGGGGGAGGGGGCTAGAACAGCGCCCCCCCCCCGACCCGGAGCCGCAGCCCCCGCCCTAAAAGCCCCGGAGGGAGGGGAAAGCGTTGCAGCAGCATCCCAGCCCCCGCGGGGAGGAGCGGCCCGTGACCCGCGCCGGGCTGGGGATGATGGGCCGGGAGAGCCCGCCCGACGCAGCTGCTGCAGCAGCAGGGACCGGCTCGGCCCCGCCCCGCCGCCGGGGAGGAGCCTCGCGGGCCACCGGAGGGGAAGGCATGACGGGAGGGGGAGGAGCCTCGCGGCCGCCCCGCCCTCCCCCCCCCCGCGGCGGGCGAGGGGGCAAAAGGGGGCGGGGCTTGTAGGCCGAGCGGGGGCGGCGCGGCTCACTCGCCGCGGCCGTTCGGGAGCGAAGGGGCGGAGCCCTGGAGCACCCGCGGCCCGCGATTGGCCGAGCGCCGGAGGCCCTCCCCGCCCTCCCCTGCACGCTCGAGCGCGCGCGCCACACGCCTCCAGGCCCCGCCCTCTCTGCCTGCCTCCCTCCCTCCCCGCGAGTGCCCCCCCCTCCTCCTCCTCCCGCAGACTCGGGCTCTCGTCGCGCCGCGCGCGCTGCCCCCTCCTTCCCCGCCCCGCGCGCGCCCTCGCCCGCCTCGCCTCCCCTCACCTGCTTGCCGCCGCCGGTGAGCGCCGCCTCGCCTCAAGAGCCGGCGCGGCGAACCCTCCTCCGCGTCTCCCGTCTTTCTCCTCCCCGCGCTGAGGAAAAGGCAGAAGGCCGGGCCGGGCCGGGCCTGGGCGGACGAGTCGGCAGCCGGACAGGCCACAGGATCCCGTGTGAGGGGCTTCCGGGGGGGAATGGGAAGGGGGAACCGCGGCCACAGAGCAACCGTCTCAGGACGGCCGCCGCCGAGCGCTGCCCGCTTCTCTGTTCCCTGAGAAATCCCGCCCCTCCCCTGCTCCGGGGAGGCCTCCTGCACGGCGACAGGGCGGCCGGGCTGCCGCTCTAGCGCCTCGGCCAATCCCGGCGCAGCGCAGCCTCCCTTCCTCCGCCCCGATTGGCTGCCTGCTCCCAGGAAGGGGATGCCAAAGGCGGGTTGGGAGAGGGAGGGGGAGTGGAGAAAAAGGGGTGGAGAGAAGGCGAGAAAATGTCCGTATGGGACGCGGAGGGCCCGCCCCGCGCGACTCTCATTGGCCCGAGCTCCGCGGCCGCCGCTGCCCCTTGGGCGGGAGGCGCCGCCAGTCAGGCGAAAGGGTGGGACTTACGGAGAGCGGGCGAGGAAAGAGGTGGCTCCGCCCCTCGACGCTCTTGGACTGTCTCCGCCCCCCGGCTGGTGGGAGGCCCCGCCCCTTCTCCGGGGAGCCCTATTGTGGAATGTTTACATCGGCGCTGCCGCCGTTGCAAATCCGCGGAGCACCCGGGCGGCGTGGGTCGCGTGCAAGCGCAGCAAGGCACCCCCCCCCCAACCCCGTGCAACCCCGTTGGGCAAAGAACCGAACCACAACTCACAGCCGAGGCTTGCAAACGGCCAAGCCCGCTCGGTTGCAAAGCAAACACACACACACAATGTCTCCACTGATGTTGCTGCAACTGCATCTCCTTCCCCAACACGGGAAACCCGCGCAGCCCCACCTTCCCGGAAGTCCGAGTCCGCCCGCTTTGGGGGCGGAGGCAACAGGTCTCCCTTCGCGCTTTGCAATCGCGGGGCAGCCAAATTCCCAAATGCATTTCCTCCCCCCCCCCCCCGCCCCAATCAAAACCCCGGGCAAAGCTTTTTCTGCAAAAAACAAACAAACATATATACATTTAAAAAAATGTAAATTCTTGGTTGCATTTGCCAAGTTAAGCAGGACGCCGGTTTGAAACTGCCCTTCAAAAACAACCCCTGGCGCTGCGGAGAAGCCCAAACGTGGCACTTGGACGGGGTTGCAAGAAGATCGACCAGCTCTGTTTCTCTTTCGAAGCCCAATAAAGAAATCCTCCCCCACTTTTTTTTTAAAAAAGGTAGTTTTTCCATAGACGGTTTGCTCGAACGTTTAAGAACAAGATGTCCGGAAATAAGCACTATGCAAATCGCATGGGATATTTCATTTTTTGAAAGAAAAAAAAAAAACCACCAATGAATTACATGATTAAAACAGGCTTGGGAAATGGGCTTCTCCACCATGCAGTCCACAAAAGCCTGAATGAGTTTGTGTTTCCAGGTGATTATTTACTTTCAAGTGTCCAGTTTTAACGTGGGTACTTAAGCCAGATACTTGGTGGGAATTTTACAGATTCCCAGCATAGATTCTCCTAGAATCCCTTGTTTGCACTGAGCATAAATACTGCAGCTATATACATATAGCTTAATAATAATAATAATAATAATAATAATAATAATAATAATAATAATAATAATAATA